GGCCACCACGGCTCACTGGGGTTGGTCTCGCACCACGATTTTGCGAGATTGGCGGTTGTTTTAAACCGGGCAGGGAATGGAGCGTTGTGGATGGCCTTGCTGAAGACTCTAGGGCCAGGCGGCCCAGGAGAAGGATTGCGGTCCTCCCCGCTATCATAGCGGCCACCTCGGTATGGCTGGTAGCCTCGGGCGAGCCCGTCGTTGTCGTGGCGCCGTCACCTGCTGACCACATCGTGGTCCTCTTGTGCCTCGCGTCGGTCGCTGAGGCGGTCGTGGACCGAGGGGCCTTTGAGGCGATCGTGCCAATCAAGGCCGCTTCGAGGTAGTCTCACATCGCCGAGACGCGGAGCTTTCGCCGCTTTGACTTGTGGCGGTTTCGAGAAGGTCTCGGGCCTTGCATGGACCTGTCGCCCCTCCGTGGTAGAGGGCTCGGGCATCGCTCGGACTAGCATCGCCGCCGCCACGATGTTCTGGCTAGCGTGATTGAAGATTGGGGGTAGCTCACTTGCTTCGTCGTTGTTGATGCGGCGGTGCACGTCGTGGGCCCTCTACCGGGCCCCACCGCCATCACCGCGACCTTGCTGCTCCTGCTCGAGAGTGTCTCGGAGCTGCTGCAGCAGGAGTCGATCTTGGTCGACTTTTGCCTGGAACTCACAGAGCTGCTCTAGGTCTAGGCGTTGGAGATCCTTGGGGGCGACGTTCACGTTCCGCGCCGCCCGGAGCTCGACGAGCGGGGTGGGAGGCGTCCCCCCTTGGCGGGCGGGGACCGGTTCCTGCCTCTCACCTCAATACTTGCCTCTCGGCATTCCGAGCCCGACGTGTGGAAACACTCTCGAGTGGGATCGTAAGTGCTTTCGTCATCGGAGTCGAGTAGCCGGGCGAGAGTCGCTATGCCAAGAAGCGGCACTGCCTCGGTCACGGCCCGGAGAAGTCCGCCCGCCCATGCCTCGTCCTCCTCCGAGGAGTCGGTGTGGGTGTCGGTCGAGATTGTGGTGGAGAAGTCGAGGCGAATCGCTGGTGGTGTTCTGAGGGTTCCGCGTGCGCGGAGGCGTAAGCGAAAGCATAGGCGGCGGCGATGTTTTTTAGCCCAAAGGGGTACGGGGATGGTGCCACCGCTAGGCTCCGCTCCGCTGAGTTGATTCCTCGTGATGTGGCGGGCTGAAGCTTGACGACGGACGTCGCCGCGTCCCCACCGACGTCTTTCCCACGCGAGCTTAGGCTAGACGGGTCTCCGGCCAGGATTCAGCCTGCAAATGGGCATGGGATGTCGGCGGAGTGCGGCGCACAGCTCTGAGCTCGCGTGGCGTCGGAGTAGTCCCGCTCGCGTCATGCCTGGCGAGCGTGATGAGAGCGGCGGGCCGGGCGCCGCCTGCGCCTAGGCTGCCGATGCGTGACGTCGTCACCGGCCGGTGGGGCTCTGGGTGTGAGGAGTACCATATCGTACTCACATCCTAGAGACATGAATTCTAGGCTCCCAAACCAGACCACCGTGCCAGGACGTAGTGGGCGTATGGGGTCAGCCATCCAGAACTTGTTGGGACGATCACGATAACACGCAGAGGCCCCTACCTAGCGCGCCAACTGTCGGTGTTTCGGACCGAGGGGTCCTCAACCAACTAGTAAAAGTGAACTGTGTGCCCCTAATTCCGGATGGTGATGCAAAGAGACACAAGGTTTATACTGGTTCAGGCAATTGGTGCCCTACGTCTAGTCTGAGAGATCGGTCTTGTATTCCTTGCACCAAAGTGCTTGTAGTAGGGGGTTACAAGCTGGGTGAGAGAGGGAGCTAGTCCCAGGTCTCGGCGTGGGACGGTGCGAGGTGCTTGAGACGCTGCTCTCAAGCAGCCCGGGAGCGTGGGTGTTACAGGATGTGTCTAGGGCGAGTATGGGAGCGTGGTTCTATCGTATGTCCTTCTTCTTCCCCTGAGCTATCCCTGACCGCTTCCTTTTATAACCGCAAGGAAAGAGCCAGGAGTACATGAGTAAGCTACACGTGGGGCCTACTGTAGTTTTGTCCTGTAGTAGCATGGCGTTGGGAATGGAGATCGGTACTTGTCTGGCGCGCCGTGCTGGTCAGGTTTGAAGTGGTTGTGGTCGTGGGGGTCCTTGTCGATGTCTAGTCAGTATGACTTCCACGGCCGGAGACATGCCGTGCTTTGGTGGACTCTTGACCTGGTGGAGTGCCGAGGCCTAGCGGGTTGTAGCTAACCACGCCGAGGCCTGATTTGCCGAGGCCCTGGCGGGTGTTTGTAGCTGACCGCGCCAAGGCCTGATTTGCCGAAGCCCTGGAGGGAGCAGTTGGGCCTATGCACTGATTCTAAGGCTATAGTGACCTGGTTTAGGTGGAAAAGTGCAGGGCATGGTAAAAAAGGAGATTTGACCGTTGTCCCATCGCCTCATTCTGTACCTCACCACGGCCGTGGCTGGCGACGAAGCGGTGCATTCAGCGCATTAAATGATGGGACAGCTGCCGGGGGATGGTTGAGGCGAGGCGACGAGGATGCGGATGAGCCGGCCTCGCCGAGGCGGAGAAAAACAAGACGTCCGAGGAGCCTCCCTGGGGTCTCTGGACGAGGCGGAGAACGAAAGCAAACTAGGCTCTTCTGGCTGCTTTGAGACTACAGGACTGGACTTGACCTTCCACGCCGCTTTGTCCTTAACGCAGGGGTTAGGTAGCACAAGGCGAAGACGGTGTCGATGAAGGAGCACAAATGATGAGCACAAGCGGTAACCCCTCGCTGCGCCGGCCCCCGTCTCCGCTTGGTCGCTCTCGCCCGCCTTGTACTCAAGCGTCTGGGCCGACGCTCTGCGGGAGTGGTTGGGCGCATAACCCCGGACGTGACGCTTTGTCGAGAGGAGTTCGGTCGGGATGGAGGTAACGAGGTTGTTTGCCGAGCCCAAATTTCGAGCGAATCGGAGAATTGGCATCCCGTCCGAGGCCTTTTTGGGCGGGGCCTCGGCGAGAGGGTCTCAAGCGGGAGGGCCTCGGCGGCGGGGGAGCTTTGGCCTTTTCGCATGATGAGGCTTCGGCGCAAGGCCTCCTCGGTAATCGAAATCTGCCGAGACCTTGCGGTAGTCTTTCGGCTTTGATTTTTGCAAGGTTTAAGCAATATTTTTGGTTTCTTGCTTAGGGTACCCCTTCTTGCGGTATCCGACACTACTCAACCAGGACCGTGGTTGCATCGAGTGGCTGGACATGCAGGCCCCTAGTTCCGTGCTATATGTGAGCTTTGGTAGTGTTGTTCATGTGACCCGAAACGAGTTTTTGGAGATGGCATGGGGCTTGGCGAACAGCGGCAAGCCGTTTCTTTGGGTTGTTCGGCGTGGCCTCGTGCTTGGGGTGGAGAAACAGGAGCTCCCGGATGGGTTCATCTTGGCGGTTGAGGGTAGAGGAAAGGTGATCGAGTGGGCAGCGCAACTGGAGGTGCTAGCTCACCCTGCAATGGGGGGCTTCTGGACTCATAACGGATGGAACTCCGCGTTGGAGAGTATCTATGAGGGGGTGCCTATGTTGTCGAGGCCTATCTTTGGAGATCAATTGCCAACCGGAAGGTACGTGACGTGCATGATAAATGGAAGATTGGGATTTTGTTGGAGGGTGTGCTAGAGCGAGGGGAGGTTGAGAAGGCCATCAAAAGGCTGCTAGAAGAAGATGAGGGAGTTGAGATCAGGGGAAGAGCAAAGGTATTGAAGGAGAAGGTGCGAATGTGCCTTGAGAGCAGTGGGTCTTCTCAACAGGCCGTTGATAAACTGGTGGATCACATACTTTCCCTTTGAGTTTTTCTATATAGAATTGTTGTCTGTCTACGGTTTCAGCTGAATAAATTAACTACTGGTGTTTTGTCTGTTGTTTGTTTTCATTTTGTACAGTAAATATGCTCAAAATGAACATCAGCAAACTGTCCAAGCATTACAGAACTTCCATGAAACAAATAGATTCGGTCAACAACAAAGACCAGTTAGTCAGATGACATGATCATGAATAATTTCTTAGAGAGGATGGTGCTTTTTTGTGTGGAAAATCGTATGATTTTTCTTCTCATGATAAGCACTCTTTGTCCTTGAAAGCAACCATAGCTAGATGTTTAGTGTTCATAAAGATGGAGAATCCATTCCACATCCGGCAAATGATGCCTATTGATATTATATAAGCTGACAGCTGACAAATAATATATGACGTTTTTGACATTTTCTATGTCTTCGAGATGCAATTTTTGACAATGATTTTTCTGTCAACATATTGTTATAGTAATGTCTAATAAATGTTCTTCATGACGAATCGCACATATCATTTTTTGTCTCCAAATAAACTAAAATCCTGAGAGCTATGAGTGGAGAAATTCTTAAAAGTTTGATTGGATTTTTGTCAAAGTATCATATATTGGTCAAAAGTATCTCCAAATAAACTATATCAAGCGACTTAGTAACTAAAGTCTATCACAAATGATACAGATAATAAAATCTATACATGAGTATTGTGATAGAATATAAGCAAGCGATAGAAAACAAAGACTAAAAAAGGACTTATATTGGTTTTAAATTTATATGTACATTTCTAATACCTATATCATTTAAAATTACTGGGCTAGTCACGCTAGTTCCAACAAATGCTAATCAACCAATGTTATGCGCACAATTCATATGAGCCAAAATAAATTAATCTTAACAAAAACCTGATGAACAGATGTTAAGCATACATTTCACAGACAAACACTAGGACTGCATATATATATCTGTTAGATGATTAGGTTGAAAACAGAGGACGTGTCCGCAGCATGTGTTTTAGCAAGGTTTAATCAGTGCAAGGCAAGAAACGAGACCAACAGAATTAACAAAGTCTTTGACAAGGCTGAATTCAGCAGTTCCAACTTTTTCAAGGCATCAGACAAAGGGTAACATTCATTCATCACAAATGAACGCAAATGTTGATCCAACAAACTAATAGTAATACGATGGTAGCACTAGGGATGTATGGTCGAAACTTGACTCCATTCTGAGAATCACATACCATGAGACATGACGAGGCCTTTGAGGTCACAGGTGAGCTGCTTCTCATTCTCGTGCTTGGGTTCGTCGTCGTCATCGCTGTCAGACCAGTCTCCCAGCGTCAAATAAGGCCTGCGTCAATGGGACAGCCAGCACAAATGAGGGATCCAATATAATTCAAATGCAATGGGAGAAAAACAAAAGGAGAATGGAAATCGATGGACTGCATATGGGCTGTGCCTGACTTTGCAACGTCGTCGAGGTTTTCCGGTAGGATGTTGGGGAGTAGCCCCTGCAGCATTCGCATCATCTGCTCCCTGTAATACATCATGCCGCGTGAGTAGATCGACTTCAACGTGATTCCCCCGAACTTGACGCTGCCCGGCCTGCCGACGTCAATGACCATGCGCTCAGAGTACTGGTTGCGCCAGCCCAAGAGGCGCAGCCTCGGCGCCCGCAGCGTGAATGACTTGTAGTCCGTGGTGCCTCCAGCCGCACAGTCAATTTCGAACTGTATCAGCTCCGGGGCGTCGATGGTGATGACTCCGTACGGCGCCTCGGTGTCTCGACGGTGCGGTGCGACGTCGACAGAGTCCATGTCAAGGAACCTGAGCCGCGGCAGGCGGATGTCGACGCGGGCTTGTCTGATCTTGCAGCAGAACAGGTCCAGCTCGTCGAGAAGCGGACACCAAGCGCCCGGCGCGAACGGGGCTTCCACGGTGACGCTGTTGAGGTCCAGGGAGACCAGGGACGGGAGGCGCGGCCACTCGCTGAGCACCGCGTAGTCGAGGCGGAGCTTCCGCAGGGAGGCGGCGCCTGGCCCGGCGATGGCGGGCGCGAGGTGGCTCCTCGTGATGACTTCCAGCTCGCGCGCCGCGGGGGGCAGGTCGAGCGACCACGCGTTCCGCGCGTCGGCATCGCTGGCGGCGAAGGGTGACAGGAAGCGGATCACGCGCGCGTCGGCGAGCGCGACGATGCGGGGGGCGTGGCGCCTCATGCGGCGGTCGTCGATGTCGGAGACGAGCCTGAGGGTGTCAACCTTGGACGAGGACGCCTCGAGCGCGCGGCGGCCGAGCGCGACGCGGACGGCCAGGATCGAGTCCTCGTCCAGAAGGCCGCGGACGGACTGCGCCTCGTCGAAGTAGATGTCCCGGAAGGAGAGGAACGCGTGGAGGTAGATCTTGACGACGGGCGTGTGGAGGTGGATGTGGCGCCACGCCCGGGACAGCACCGTCAGCTGCACGGTCTCGTCGAACGAGAGCAGGGAGGCGATCTGCGCGCGGAGCTCGAGCGGCAGCGCCGTGATGCGGTCGCCGCCGCTGGAGCTAGAGCCAGCGGCAGTCCTAGCCTCCTTGCGCTTGCTCCCACTGCGCCGATCCATCTTCTTCTCACTCGCCGCCTGGGCTGCCTCTCTTCTCCCTTTCGTCTCCGAATCGGTGGAGATCGGGATCGGGAATGAGGGTAGTTTCAGAATTTAGTTTTGGAGGGAAAGAGCGAGCCCCTTGCAACTGTTCCCGCCAATTCCAAAGTGGGCTGCGTGACAAAGCCCACGACGCGTGCAAATGGGCAATGGGGACGGTTCTTTTGAGTCAAAACTTTTTTTTAAGATAGACCACCACACTAAAGAGTATAAAGTCCCCTAAAAAAACCCAAAGAGCATAAAGAAGGAAATATACATTGGTAGGTTAAGATGGTGACCATAATCCTAGATCATAAAATATTCTTTTTTTTCAAATGTAGTCTATTTTAGTTTTGATGTTATGCTTTAATTTTTTTTAAGATGTTATGCTATAAAAATTGCGTCCAACATATATAACCCTGGCTCTATTTTGATATCATAGTAATTATGAGAATGATATCCAAGTAGGTGGGATATAGCCATATAGGAGATTCTTAGGGGCCGTTTGGCACAGCTTATTGGACAGATTCATGAGCTGTTTTCTAGCTCTCTCAGTCAAACAGGTCCGAGCGAAAGCGCTTCACGCGTGAAGCTCCGAAAAAACCGATGAGACAAGCAAGTAGCGCGTGGTGAAACCAAAAAATAGCAGCTTGCTCGTGCTTCATCAGACATCATGTGGGCCCAGACCCTTTTGCCCATGCACACATGGCGATGGCGAGGCGGAGTGCGTGCTGCAGCGGCGACACAACAGCGAGGCCGAGGCGGAAGGCGAGCTGCACCGACGAGGAGGAGCATGAGCGCCAGCCGCAACGACAAGGTGGACGCTCGGTCATGGTCCGCTATGGCGACGCTTGGCCGCGGGCCATGACGGCGACGCAGAGCACGGGCTGCACCGACGACAAGACGGAGCTCGGCGCGAGCTGCACCGGCGAAGAGGTGGAGCTCAACGCGAAGCCAGCAAACGCCGTCGCTTCGGCCGCCACACACGAACGGTTGCCTCAGAGGCTCAGACTTCCACCGTCGCCGCACAGGAACGGTTCATCAGTTCGTGTGAGTGGATAAGGACAAAGGTAAGAGAAAGGAAGAATAATAAATAAAGAAATAAAGGAGAAGAAAAAAATAAAAAGGAAAAAGGGTATTATCGGGTATTAGTATTAGGGCTACCCAAAGAATGAATCTGATGACCGCGGACGACAACTCGCCTAAATAATTAAGGACGTATTTTAGTCTCGAAGGGATGGTTTCCGCCTCGCCAGACCCCTCGAGTACGGGTCCCGTGTCACCTGACCCCGAGGGTACGGGAGCCGTTTCGCCTGACCCTAAGGGCACGGGCTCCGTCTCACCCGACCCCTCGGGCGCGGGCTCCGCCTCGCCCGGTGGGGTCCGTACCGCCCCAACCACTATGGGTCCAAGCGTGTGGGCCTAGGTCAAGCCTCTGACACCAGAAGGGGTGGGGCACGCCTTGACGTGACCCGTGGCCAGGACAGGCCACGCCCGGGGGTTCGAATCGCCAACAGTGACGGCTGTGTGGGCTCTGTGCTGTCTAATCCCCATACGGCCGCTGACAAGCATGTCAGTTCACCACGCCGGCCGTTGGGATGGGATGGAACGCCACGACCAGCTAATGACGTCGAGGCATAGCACCAGTGATGAACAGGGCCCGATGTGGAGCCGTCCCCGTCACCATCTACATCGTCAACGAGACCCGCATGAAGGAGAAGGACGCGGCGGTCCTAGAGGACTTCTTCTGCTCGATTTTCTCCCTCTTTCTCTCTCTCTCTTCTCTTTTTCTGATGTAACCTGCATATTCCCCTTCTTCTATAAAGGGGGAACCCAACACAACACGAGGGTCATAGGCACGAGCACATGGCTGAGCAGCTAAACAAACGCTCGGCACTTTTCAATCCTTCCACCAGAGACCTAGGATCCGCTCCCTCTCTCACCCATCTGTAACCCTTACTATAGACAGTGCCGGTAACATGAGCAGCAGACTGGGTGTAGGGACATTCTGCCCGAACCAGTATAATCCTTGTGTCCTCTGAGCACACCATCTGGGCCAGACACGCAAACTAGAAATTTACTAGCCGGTGATCCAAAACACTGACAGTTGGCGTGCCAGGTAGGGGCTTTTTCACGTCTCGACGTCCACATCAGGCCTCGGATGGCTAGTCACGGCGTCAGCTAGGTCCCGGGCATGCACGTGCGCTTCGGAAGCCTGGACTTCATCGTCACGATGGAGGGAGAGTTGGCGTAGGTTTCCGCCGCCGTCTAGCCTCTCCACTCCACTGGCCTCGACACAATAGTTGAGGCGCTTGAGGAGCTGTAGCTACACGCGCTGGAGGCCCGTGTCCCCAGGAGCGACCGGCTCCTCAGCTTAAACTATGGGAGGCTGGAGCGCCAACTCGATGCCTTCCTAGGACCTTGACCATCCCGAGAGGAGCTGCGCTGCCTTACTTTCTCCTTTGCCAACGCCAAGAAGCAACTCGCCGGAGGGGAACCGCTCTCCCCGGAACACCTCACCTAGGGCACTTTGACAGCGTTCCTGTTCGGTCTGTGCAATGCTACGGGGACCATTGACCACCTCGTGGCACAGTGCATGCACCCATCCCCTATGAACAATGAGTTCATGGGGATGATTGAATACATCGTGTAATCTTTCCACGACCTTCTCGCGGGAGATTCAGAGTCGCTCTCTGACTCTGACTCCAACAAGGGGAGCCATCACCCCTTATGAGAATGTTTTATGGCAGATACCCCCGAGGGACGCGTTGAAAGCGTCCACGAGGGAGGGGCTACCCCACCGAACAACCTTGATGATGAGGTCAAGGAAGATGCAGGGGGGCTTCCTCGCATGCGGGTGGAACAGCTAAGGGCGCGACACCAGGAGCTCGAGGATGCATGACTCCAACTCAAGCAGGAGCGCATAGAGCTCGAGCGAGAGATCGAGCGCCGTGGAGATGGTGGGCTTACACTCAGGGTCAGGTGAGATCGAGCCCCTCAGAGTGCGCATGAAGTACATGGTCCGCTTCCACTTTCCTGCCTCCAACAATGTGGCCGAATATGAGACACTCATTAATGACCTATGCATCACTGTTGAGTTGGGCATCCGATGGCTCGATGTCCGGGGCGACTCCCAGCTGGTCATCGACTAGGTCATGAAGGAGTCAAGCTGCCACAATGCAAAGATGGTTGCGTATTGTCGAGAGGTCCATCGATTGGAGGACAAGTTCGACGGTCTCGAGCTCAATCACATCTCGAGGTGGCTCAACAAAGCAGGTGACGCACTGGCAAAGATGGTGTCTGGCCAGGAGCCGGTGCTGACAGGCATTTTTGCCAGCGACCAGTACAAGCCCTCCGTCCGCTACGAGGAGCCAGAATGAACTGGTGACAGGCCGCCGACCTCGGGCTCGGGGGCTGACCAACTGAAAGTGCATTTGCCCTCTATGTGGGTTTTGGTGTATTGATGACATCCAAATTAGGGACTAATGTGATCTTAATGAGATATGTCGCAACTATTACTCCTATGAAAGATTCAAAGAGTTGATAAATATGAAATGCTATCCCTCAATTCTTGAAGTTGTAAAGGCAGACGAACTCAAAGCGCTCTCCAAAGGTTTTATTTATGCCTTTGAGTTTAGGATCCGCCGCACTATAAAGAGGGATGTAAACTTAGTTGGTCTGAGGAAGATAGAGTGCTCAAGCATAAAGATAAAATCAAAAGAGAGACACTCTAGCACTCCACGAGCACGTAGAATATTTTTCTATGACTGTTGGTGTCGGAAGTCCTGACGTAAGCTAGAACTCTCGACCGTAGGAAGTCACGACTCATGCCAGAAGTCCTGACGCCCAGTCACTTAGCCTACGCAGTGACTGTGGCCGTCTGAAGTCTCGACGTGAGTCAAAACTCCCGACAGTCGGAAGTCCCGACCCAAGTCGGAAGTCCCGACATCTAGGTTTACTAGCCGATTGCCTGCGCCTGTTGGAAGTCCCGACATACATCGGAACTTCCGACAATCAGAAGTCCTGACCCTTGTCGGGAGTCCTGACACCTGGGGCTTTGCTGGTTGACTGTCTGCTCATGTCAGAAGTCCCGACCATCGGAAGTCCCGATGTTTATTGGGAGTTCCGACATTGACTTGCTCGTGCAGACTTCTGAACCTATGTGAACAGTGTTTTCTGTTAAGGTCGGAAGTCCCGAGATCTGCGTCGGAACTTTCGACGTAGATCTGAATGGCTAGATTTCTACTACGAGTATAAATAGCCCTCTCTTCACTTCTAACCGTTACGAACTCATTCACCGCTGACCCAACTTCATCCTAACAGCTCCCAAGCAGCAAAGGCACCCATCTCCTCCCTCCTTTGCTCCAATCTTCGATTCCCTTAGGGGTTTGAGTGAAAGGAGAGTGGATTAAATGAGAGAATCACTTTGGCAAACTTGAGCACTTGATTTATTCGTCAAGCCGGTTGGTTTTGCGTCTATTACTCTTAGGGCTTTGCCCCTAGCCGGCTAGGCCTTGCCCAAGAGCTTCCATCTTGTGGAAGAGCCTTGAGAACTTTGTATTACCCTTGATTTCTTAGTGGAAAGCTCAAGTGACCTTTGTGGTCGCTTTGAGAGAGGCAAGGAGGTGAAAAAGACTCCGACCTTTGTGGTCACCTCAACAACAAGGATGTAGGAGCTCCTTTGTGGGGTTGCCGAACCTTGGGATAAATCCTTGTGTCCCATGTGCTTGTTGTTCTGATTGCTAGAGATTACTTATATTTGTTTGTCTCTCTCTCTCTCCCGAACTTCATTTTAGGGTTCGGACTCGATCTACGGTTTGGAGGCATTATGGCGTCAAGAGAGTGACCCAACATCTTCACCAAACCACGAGGAAGTGGGGTTGTAAGATTATTTATCCGCAAAGTTAAATTTGGCACTGCGTTTGTAGTTCACGTAGGCGTCGGGACTGCTGACGTTTGTGCCGGAACTTCTGACAACGTTG